ATACGAAGCACTGTTCATCGTTACTTTCACATCCTCAATAAAGGCTATCAGGTAACTGATGCTTTTATCAAGGCGTTTTATTTGCGCGGTGTGTGTTTTTCCGCATTGTTTTTAAACGATTCAAAGGGCATGAAAGATGCTACTTTTCAGCACCCCCTGTTCTCCCCAGCTGGGCTCCATCATTCATCTCCAGAACTCACAGGTGCTCACGATAAGGGGACATGCACAGGTTACCATCCAGGCAAAAAATGCGCAGGATACAGGTGACGAGCAGAACAGTCTCGTCTCTGCCCTGCCCGCACGCAGCCATCTCTCCATCGCCTAGCCTCTTGGCCTAACCTTGCTCCTGCCCTGCCCAGGCAATGTTCCAAAACTCTTAGGACTGCTAATAAGTGCCCAGAGGGCATGCCACTCGGCTGAACCTTCACCTAAAGGCATTCAACTCGAACTCCACAGTCAGCAAACCCAGCTCTCAATTAAGTGAGCCAAAGAGCTCAGTGCACAGGGGCTTTGGGGGCCATAGGGTGCCCTTCCCTCCTGACCTTTCTAGCTGGGAGTGAGATCCCCATCCCTGCTTCCAAGAGGACTCGTTTCATACCCAGCAGGCTGGCATCACAATTACCCCGTTCACAATCACAGATGAATCCTATCCGAGTCTTGCCCCACCTTCTCTTTTCCCAAGCCACCAGGAAAGGCTCTTTGGAGGGGATTACAAAGACTCTGGCTAGAAGAGTCTCATGAAATGTTTCACAACACAGACTTCACACGACTGCCTCTTGAGTGACGGGCCGCAGCCCGAACCCTGCTCGACTCAGTCACCAGCCTTCCTGAGTCGTCCTCACCTGGCCTGTGGTGGAGGGAGGAACAGGCAGAGTGCCACCAAGTCCAGCCCCCCTGCTGGGCAGTCTCACCACCATCCAGTCAGTGCTGACTCACAGCACCCCCTGTGGGTGTCAGAGAATGTGACTGTTCATGGGCATAGAAAGCCCTGTCTTTCTCACCGGGGCTGCTGGTGGTCTCGAACATCCAACCATTGGATCACAGCCCAAGGCGTAACCACTACACCCGAGGACTCCATGCAATGCAGGGTAGAACTGTCCAATAGGGGCTCCAAGACCCTGATCTTCATCTTTCTCCCTCAAAATCTGGGGGAGGTCGAGCTGCTGACTTTGTGTTCGTTTTTTCCCCCCTCCTTTTCTTTCCTTTGAACTTTTATGATCTGGGTCACGTTTGGCAGAATGAGTTGGTTTTCCATTCAGTGCTTCATAGCCGTTTTGTCAGGCACCACAGTGCAGTCCCACAACGCAACATCGCTCTCGCCACTTTCTCCCCAGGTTCCCACCTCCCTTTGTCCTCCTTTCTGGTCCCTTCCCGACTTCTGAGCATTCTCCCTGGGCCAACGCTGCTGCCCTTTGGGTCTGGCATGGTTGATTGTAGGAGAGTATTTTTGTTGCTGTGATTTGCTTGTTTACCAAGAGAAACCATTCCTTAGACTGCATAGCCCATTTCAGAGTTCAGGTCCATAGGGAACTGCCATCCCAAAGAAGTTCTCCACGTTCCCAAATCACTCTGCACTGCAGAAGACACCAGCTCTCCTTGTTGCCTCAAAATCCTCCCCAGAATGGCCCTTTCTGTGGACACTGTACCTTCCTGCTCTCCCGGTCCACCACCTGCAGCCTTGCAAAGCAGACAACCCCCAGGGGTCTGGAGAGCCTCCTCACAGGCCTTCACAGATGGGTCCAGAGGCCAGACAGCCGAGATTTTCCTAAAACACCAGAGGACATGGTGATCCTGCTCCCTGCACACCTGAATCCTACCTGCTGATCTTGGCCCCCACCCCAGGCTGGCTGCTCTGTGACATTGGGCTGATAAAGCAGGAGCCTGGTCCTTGCTCAGTTACACGGATCTATGGGGACCCAACAGAGACTCAGCACTTCCGCCAGCCCCTTCTCCCTCTCTGCTTTCCTGAGAGCCTTAAAGGCAGGCTCAGAACCGATCTTTCCAAGAACTCTGGCTCCCTGGAAGGCCAGTCACTTTTGCCAGACGGTCCAGACCCCTGCTGATGACAGAAATGCAATACCAGCTGCCGATTAGTGTGTCTGATTAGAATTGCTCCCTGGAGTTTCCCCCATCAGCCTGAGTTTTGGGGAAGTGGATCACCAAGCCAGCCGGCCTGGGTGCCTTTGACCCTCCCATCTGTAGATCTACCCTCAGGTATGTTTCCATTCTGCACCCCCACCCCCAGGGACTCCTATGAGAACAATGCTGGTTATGGGTTAGGAGTCCTGGAGTCTATTACAACTCTTAGTCACCCTAGAGTGTTTTAACATCATCTTCACAGTGGCAGGTTACCAGGCCTTTCTCCCGTGGCTTGGTTGCCAGGGTGGGGTTTGAAGGGACACCCTCTCAGCACAGAGCTTAACCATTACCCCACCAGAGCTCCTTAAAAAAAACAAAAAACAAACCTACCATCAAGTGGATTCCAACTCATAGCAGTGAAGCAGGTAGCTTTATCTCCCTCCTAAGGGGCTTGTAGTTTTACCTTATGGTTAGCAGGCCAGCGCTTACCTGACAGCACCACCTGGCCCCTTCGGAGAGTTAGGGAAGTTTGAGTCCTAGATGCCTCCCCAACCACCCACCTGAGCTCTGAAGAGTCCTGTAGGGGCTCTGTTGTTTTCTGTGTGCCGCCTTCGCTCTGTAGCGGCAGGGTGTGCTGGGTGTATCTCTCCAGTTTCGAAACAATTCATTCTCTTATCCTGCAACTTGAAAGCGAGTAGGTGCCACAAGATAGCACTAACTCTTGAACAATGGGGATAGTTTGTATACCAGCAAGGGATACTGCTGATCTCTGTTCTAGTTCCTGCTTGGGGTGCTCAAGAGGTTGGCAGAGTCCGTAGGCAAACACTTCAGGACATTTGAATGGCCATCACTAAAACGACAGCACACGCCCTGGACTTTATTCTCACACCTGCTTTAGTCTCCTGAACTCACATTTAAGTCACATCCTAACTTCCTATCGGTATTTGGTATTGCTTCTTTCCTCGCTTTCTTTAGAGAGTAACTTTCATGAGCGTGGGTCCCTTACCCATTTTGTTCCCTGCTAAGGTGGTGTGGTGGCATGGTTACCTATTGGGTTGCTAACCCAAAGGTCTGCAGTTCAAAGCCATCAGCTCCTCCTCCGGAGAAAGACCATGCACGCGGCTCCCATCAAGAGTTACAGTCTTGGAAACTCTCGGGCAATTCTACCCAGTCCTACAGGGTCACTAGGAGTCAGTGGTGAGTTTGTGTTTCATTTTTTGGATGGTGGTGCCCCACCACTCCATAAGAGAAAGAGTTAGCTTAGAAACTCCATATAGAGTCCCCATGGGTTGGAATCAACTGCACGGCAGTGGGCTTTATGCACACATGAAGGGCCCCTGCTAGTGCACTGGTTCAGTATTCCCGTTAGTGGTTTGAACCCACCCAGCTGCTGCACGGAAGAAAGGGCTAGCGATCTGCTGCTATAAAGATCATGACATAGAAAACTCTAGGGGACAGCCCTACTCTGGCACACGAGGCCAGAGATGAGTACCACAAATACCGAGCTACTAATGGAAAGGTTGGCAGTTCAAACCCATTCGGAGGTATCTCAGGAGACAGGTCTGGCCATCTACTGATCCATTCCAAAAGGGCACAACCTTGAAAGCCCCAAGGAGCAATACTACCCCAGGCACTGGTGTCTCCAGGAGTGAAAATCGACTGAACACCGGTTGGCACTGGCGTGCATATGTAATAAGCCAAACCTGTGTGCTGGTTCTGAGTCACAGTGACCCTAGAGGGCCAAGCCGCATGTTCCAGAGAGTTCCTGAGACTGTACGTCTCTATGGGAGCAGACAGCTCGTGTTTCTCCCCAGAAGAGTCTGGTGAATTTGAACTGCCAACCTTTAGGTTAGCAGTGTTTAAGGTGCCAGGCCACAGGGCTCTTCTGTGTACATCAAAGAGTGCGCGACAGGCACTTCTTGAATAACAGCTCATCCATCAAGGGTCAAGAGTTCCCAAGTCTGCTACTGTGGTGCTGACTGCACCATTGAATCGTATGATAAGTGAATTATATATCAATAAAGTTATTTATTTTTAATTTCCAAGTCTGAAATTATTTATTTTTAATTTCCAAATCTGGCCTCCCTGAGAGGGCAAGATTTCAAAGTATACCGGTCAGATGGTTTTAGGTAAGGCGGTCAGGGAGGGTCTTAGGCAGAGGCACATGAGCTTCTGCTGGAATCCAATGAGGATGACCAGGAGGGGGGTTCCTGGCAGAGATCGCACGGGAAGTAAAAGCCATTGGGGTAGGGGGGACTAGTGTGGTGGCCCAGGCAGCCTGGCAACCTGTATTCACACACTTTTTGTGTGTAGCTTCCACGGAAACTCCTTCGAGGAGCGGATTCTATTTCATGCTTGCTCTCGGTTCTAAGCAGCACGGGCCGGTCTGCCAGGTTTCCCCGGCTGCTAGGGGTGGGTGGGGTGGGGTGGGTTCAGGCATGCACGGAAGGGGGCTCAGATAAGCAGTATTTAGGAGCCAGTCTCCAGCCCCGACGCCTGCCGGTCCTGTGTCCAAGCTGCACAGCACCAGTCTCCGGCCCTACGCACGAGCAAGAATGCTGGGACGCGGAGATCCACGGGCCACAGCGCGAAGACCACATCCGGTCCGGAGAGTCCTTATTTAAGGCATGGCAATAGTAACCAAATGAACTTCCCAGAAACGCGCAAATGCAATAAAGCCCGCAGGTCGCTCCGAGTCAGCGAATCAGCGCAGAGGGGTCCACTAGAAGAGAGGTTGCGTTGGCTAGTGCGCATGCGCCCGCCCCTGTGGGCGGGGACAGGTGCCAGTCCCAGCCTTTAAATGCGCATGCGCCCGACGCCGCCTTCGCGAGCGCACGCGCGGAGGTGCGGTCAGTTTAGCGGCGGAGTAGGCACGGCTGGGGCTTCGGGACGCTCGGCGCGCGGCGGGCTGGCCCGAGGCCGGGCAGCTGGGCCTTCACCATGCCCGGGTTGGTGCTCTTTGGCCGGCGCTGGGCCATCGCCAGTGATGACCTGGTCTTCCCGGGGTTCTTCGAGCTGTTCCTGCGAGTGCTGTGGTAAGTGCGGGCGCTGACCTGGGGGACAGGGCGCGGGTCGTAGTGACCACGGGCGCAGCTCGTCCGCCGCCGGCCGTGCACGCGCTTCTCAGGTCCTCGCTCCCTCGCCGGGTACTACTACCTCCCCTACTGTACCAACGGGATACTGAGCCATCCCCAGCCGGCGGGTGGCCAGTGCCCTGGAGTCCTCGCTGCAGGGTACGGTCCCCCATCCAAGGCGGCGCCGAGACCTGGCCGCGGGGGCCCGCCAGAACATCATTGCCCACCCACCAATGGGCAGTGCAGACAGGCTTGGAATGTTTTGCGTGTAAGCGTGAATCCCCTCAAAGTCGCTCCCTTTGGGGTCAGTGGGAAGTGGCATTTTATTTTGTTGTTGCAAATATACCATTGCCGAGCAGTCAACGATTCTATAGAAGAATCCTAGTCAAAAGGGGGTGCACTTCAGAACAGAAGTTCAAATACCTGTAGAATTCAGATTCCCTAAAACAGTAGAGGTTGGACAACCCCGAAACGAAAACTGAAACTATGATCTCTTAAATCTTTTAAACAACAGGGCATTTTGATGGATTGCTTTTTCTTTGGCCTTGTAACTAGGAACTGATGGCTGGGTGGGGTTAGGTAAAAGAGTTATTTGTGGCCCACCAAAGAGATGGCATAACTCGCTAGTAATGCAAATAATGTATCTTGTCCATGTGGGGGTGAGACTGCTAATAAGGTGTCTGAGACCCTGATGAGGGGACTGGTCAGTTTGGCCATCCCAGAGGTGGACAGAGGAGAACTCACAACCACCAAGAAAGTATTTGGGAGCAGAGGGTATCCTTTGGACCCAAGGTCCTTGTGCTGAGAACAGCCCAGACCTGTGAGACAGTGAGAGAAAGAAAGTATAAGAACACTGGAGCTGGTGCACAGTTGTGAGAAGCTGATCGGAGGAAAGTGCTTATAGCAGGTGTGCCTTCGGGCAGGAGGCTTGGTGGCAGAGTAGGATGCCTCTGGGCGCTTTTTGGTGGAGCTGTGTGTAATATTTGCCTGGTTACGTCAGAGATCAGGTAGCCCAGAAGGCCAAGTACAAGTACAGGGAAAGGCCTGCCTGTGAGCTTGGCTGAGAATGTGAGTTTTTACCTGTGAACGTCCCTGATAAAACCCATACTCACGAGTATGGTCTGTGAGTTGCTTGGTCAGTACAGTGAATTCTCAAGCCCAGCAGAGGAGTGGAGCGTCCGTGGGGGCAGATGGTGTCAGAATGGGCACAGAGGAAGTGTGCCTGACTTCTGCCTCATGGAAGTCAGTCTTGGGCTGTTGATCTGGGGTCGCCTGGCCTCTCGAGAGGACCAAGGAGGTAAGTGGTCCCCACTCTGTGCCATTTTTACAGATGGGCTAACTTCACTGGTAATGTGTGCCTGCCTTGAGTGTCGTGTTGATTTAAAGAACTGTCCGCGTGGGATCCAATGCCCAACAGCGGCTCCAGAGGGGAGGTTGGAGGTCAGAGGTCGGAAGCCAAGGGGGACCATGAGCTGGTGTTGGTGGGGAAGAGTGGGTCGGGAGGGTTGTTTGTGCAGCTCGCAGAAAGTCATCCAGGCCGCTGCGTTGTTCATGTGGAACTCGCTGCATCGGTGAAACGCCCTGTGTCTGTTTTCAACAATAATTTTTTAGAAGTAGAATCTTGAGGGGCAAGAGTATAAAATAAAAACATGAACCAGTGACCAGCAGCCTCACGGTGCTTAGGAGCAGGTGCTGGGGAATTATCTCCCCATTATTGTTCCTAGACCCAGAGCCATCACAGTATCACAAAATGGACAAAAACATTTAAAAAGAAGTCCACTCCTGGGCGTGCGTCCTTACTGGAATTTGGCCAAGAGGCATGCCGTCCTGTCCTCAGCTTGCTTAGACACCTCGAGGGAGGGGTGTGGCCGAGCAACTCCAGTGGCCTTGAGACCCCTGCAAGTAGATCGGTAGCTGCCCACCAAGGTACCTCCCAGCACAGCTAGCGCCCCTTCTGCTTTACATGACACCCACCTGGTCAGGGTGCCGCCAAGTTTCTCTTGGTATGCAGAAGCGGGAAGGGTCTCGTTAGCAGTTGAGCGTGTTGTCTGGCAGCATGCCAGGGGTGTATTTCTGAGTCACGGTGGGGCTCTTTTCCAGTGGCCCAGGTCATACTTGCTCAACTTCGCTTGAAAATGCCCCTGGGTGCTGCAGGAGAGATGAGAGCATTCTCCAGAAGCATGAGGTCATGGGGTCATGAGACACTTTCAGAAAGGAGAAAGTGCCCACCACCCTGAACGGCATCTTAATAGAGGCCCCGCTCCAGTGAGAGGAAACGCCTACAAAATGCCAATGCCATCAAAAGGACCCGACTTCCTGGTCTGCTAGAGACGGTGGACCTTAGGCACCATTCACACTTGGCAGCTGAATGCCCCCACCCCCAGGGTTCAATTTTCAGCCAAATTGTATGCCTGTAAGGTGGGCTACCACCCCAGAGAGGGCTGCTCTCCTTAGTGATCAAAGCACCGCACATGGCCTGGGGGAAAGCCCAGCAGGGTGGGGGGCGGGCAGGACAGGAAAGGAGGACGAATGGAAACCGGGAAACACCTGGAGGAAGCGGACTACACCGTGGGCCTGCCATCGATTATTTAATGTGACACCCTCTCTCTCTGTCACTCCCACCAAAGGACTGACCGTCCGTCGTCTTCCTGATGGGTCTGGGTAAGAACGGTGAGGGAAGGTGCAGATTTGGATTACAGGGATC